AGGGAATAGTGACGGGCATTTTTTTTTTTTACTATTTTCTGATGTTTCATACACTGAACAACTAATGTTTATTGAAAAAAAAGAATCGCCAGATGTGCTGATAGTGGAAATAATTGTTACAGCCTTAATATTATGACGCCGGCTGTGCTCGGGCCCTAAACTGCTGGTTTTCTTATGTAGTTCACATACAGATCAGCATTAATTTGAGACTGTTTCATAACCAGTCAAAAGTTCCTCACAGCAACTTTAATGCTAGCCTTAATGTTGTTATTTACAAATGGCACTTCATATCAAAATGTTGCAGCCCCTTGGCATATGGTATAAGAATAATTTGTAATGTAATATATGGAAAACAAATTAAACCTTTCAGAATCAAATGGTGTACACACCATTTAGTTTTTTGCTTTTAATTTTAAATTTGGTTTATTGATGATAAAAGTAACATCTGTGCTTTTCGCACTATGACAAATCAAAACGTCTGCTGTGAAAGAAGGACTGGGTTTTTTCATGTTCATTCTCTGTTAGGATTGCACAAACCTCCAACGTTCTGTGTAGTTAAATGTTTTATGTAGTCCGAACAAATACTGGAAGTGAGTTCTGTTTTAAAATGCTATGTTTCGGATTTACAGTATGTCTCTATTAAAAAGGTGACATAAACTGAACATACTGTGCAGGGACTTGAACGGACGACTTGTTCAGGTTTGAACACGAGGGGGAGCCCTCTCCACGTGACATGTTTTAGGCTGATTCTTTATACAGACACTCCACCCTAAAACTGAATTTACATTGTTTCATTGTAAAGCTATGTTACAACCCCGGACTGCTCCTCAAATAACGAATAATGGAACAACGGTGGTCATTTTGAGGAGAAATGGTGGCTCACAGCTATGTTACAAAATACATTTGGATGTAACTTAACCAATATATTTTTCATATTTTTATTAGAAATGTTTTTTTTTAATATTTATAATTCTTGACTTTCGCAGTACTTTATTTTTCTCTTACTATGTGTATTTCATGCACCAAAATACCAGGGTGAATCCCATATGTGAAAACCTACTAAAACTGATTCTGATTCAAATTGTGTTTTTAAGGTGAATTCTCCCCTTAAAATCTCAAAGGAAATCCGGCCGAGAGTCTTTTGATCTGGATTACATCACATTCAGGAGTCAAGGATACATTCAAAACGTTAACATAAAACTGCAAAAGGTTGCATCACTTACTGCATTGAGCATGGTAACGCTAGGAGATGGATGGGTGGACTATGACGTATTTGATTGTCTTTATTTGATTGTCTAAATTCTATTTAGTGGCCTAGTCCGCAGAATTTAGTAGGCCTATTAAATATCTATTGATTAGCCTATGAGTATTATTAGTCATTGTCAAACTCTTGTATTCTTTTATTCTTGTGGTGACTAATATTTCTCACGTGATCTCTAATCTCTGGCGCTATAAATCCACAGTTTTATTTATCCTCCATCTCCTCTGTCTCTCTCTCCGCTCCATCTCTCCACACAACATGAAGCGCTTCAGCCAAATTATGCAACAGCGATAAAACCTTTGCAGGCCTCCCATTGGTCGCTCAGCGTTCCATTAAAGGGCGTGGTTAGAGACTGCTCACATACACTATTGGCTGCGTCTTCACAGTGGGGGGTGTCATCTGATTTCATTCACAAATCTAGCTGCGGCGCGTCTCTCCGACATGTGAAGATGCCTCTGTTTATACTGATGAACACATGTCCCGGATCCGCAAATGTGAGCGGGCGGAAAAGGCTGCAGCTCTGGCAGAAGAAGGAATGTGACATGGTTTTAAATAGACGTTGATGTTTTTCGTATGGGCAAATTACAGCCTTTTACAAACATAACATTATATATAATCTATGATAACATAAATAGTCCAATGCTTTAAATTTGAAAAACAAATAGCAGGCTATACTGTTCCTGCTTGTCACAGCAGTAAATATGAACTGTAGCCTACTTTCGACGCTGGGGGATATACAACCATACATATAAACAGTAGAAAAGGGAATATGTTGTTCATCTTGTTTCTTTGTGAAAGTTGTAGTATGCCAGTAGTGAAGAAGGAGAAGTCAGATGGACAAATGCAGTGCAGAGAGGACACAGCAATGTGTCACTGTTTCCCTGTTGAAACAGGATATGTTGCTCGGCCTCTGCAACCAGAGTGGGTGGATATTTACTATTTAGTCTCTCTTTGGGCCTCCGTCTTCGCAGGGGCAGATCATATTTCTGTTGTGGTGTCTTGCTCTGACCACACCTGCTTGCATGTTTGGCAGTACAGGAACTCCTGCATGCTTTCACTGCATGAACACTTGCATGCTTTCCCAATAAGCAAGACCTCAAGACAAACAACTCCTGGTTATAGATAATTAATCTATACGCCTGAATTCAATCCACTTCTGTCGGTCTTGTCCTGACATAAACCATATAGGATAATTTACACACCCTATATGTCCCGTAAGCACACGGCCTCAGCAGTGAATCTACAAATAATTTTAGACTGTATTGTAACTTAATCTGCAACATATCTGTTTTTATTCCAGATGTATAAACATCTCCGTCTTGAGCAACCTAACTGAAACAGGCTGTGTTTTCCATAGGTGACCGGTTTGACACACTGCTCTTTGACCCACTTGCAGTGACAAAAGCACCATCCATGGGCTTAGGCTTCACGTGCTCACGCTTATTGAATTCTCGACTATGTCAATACAAAGGGGCTGATAATGAGAAGGGGATGGAGAAACAACACACAGAAACCAGGTGGGGGATGGGACGGAAAGGAGATGTAAGGATGGAAATGACGGGGGTGGTTTTCAACCCATGAACTGTTGGGTTCACGTGCTGCAGAGGAATGCTGTGGGGGTTGGAGAGCTTTTTCTATTGACCTAGTCCCAGTAACCTAGAAAAACAGGAACCTCTCCCTTGGTTTACTATTACCAAAGGTTAACCTTTATTGTGTTTTGACAAAAAGAGGGGCTGGTGTGATCACCTGATGTTGAGGTGACTAATTAATGGTACACAGTTACAAGGCTCAAGGACAGGCAATGTCAATCAAACAAGGACACAGCTTAATGTTTGTGTGTTGAGGGGAGGGTGCAGTGGGTTCATGTGTATGTTGTATGTATATAGTGGGGGATGGGAAGACCCTTCATCCCTGACTCTAACATGCAAGGCGCTTAGAGGCATCCACCACTCCTCATGCTCTAAACCGGTATTTCACGTCTAAAAATACCAGTAAAAGCCAGCATAATAACTGAACCACAATTAAGGTCTTATGAGGAGCGAAAATACCAATATGAGCGTGGGACAGCAAGTGTGCATGCGTGTCTTTGGTCTGTTCATATATGGCGGTTGTATACTGCACTGCACTGCATGTTTCAAGTGAGGGTCACTGACTTCACTCTGCAGTAACCTTAAGTGGAAGGATAAGCTGCTGCGTGGCCATAAATAATGGACCTGTAAACGGACCTGCTGCATTATGGTCAAATCTCTGTCACTATACATTCTCATGTATTAGTGACTTTAACAATAGAGCCACGGCGACACAAAATAGAATTTTGTCTTTTGCCACTTTTCCAGTTGTGCAACCTGTACAATGACACTTGTTATAAGAGAAACATTTTGTGATGTTTTTGTGTCACAAAGACTTTAAGTCAGTTTAACATATGAGACAACTGAAGAAAATACAGAAAATACACATCTGTTAATACAGATACATATACAAAAATGTGACAATAACACATTTTGAGTGTCCGCTATACTAGCCAAGATAATAGGGTTAAAGAATTATGTTGTAATAATAGGTCGACCTATATCCCCAGCCATGTGACTGGCCTGATCCAGAAAATGTCCCATCTTGATGACTGACCCAACTTATATTATACCTTTACTGTGTGATTACGTATTTAATATACCTGTTTTGATCTTGTTTTTCTACTTTTGCCTTTTCCTTGTCTGTTTGCACTATCCACTATGCTGCTGTAATCATGCAAATTTCCCCGCTGTGGGACTAATAAAGGATTATTTTATCTACCTACCTATCTTATTTGATCTTATCTTTATCTTACCTCGTGAAGAGCCTTATTTGCAGGGCTGAATAAAGGCGGAGGGAGCCATTAAGGTGTGTATTAGCATTCCTCAAATATGGAAGTTGAATTGTGTCATTGAATCAGGGGATTATGGTTGTTTACTGGAGACTGAGTCTATACACTGTGATTAATGGAAGAGTGCTCTATTTCACCATAATCCCATATGATGTCAATGGCACGGTCTGTGTGAGGCCGGACTCTCCGCACAGAGGTCATTGTTCAGTCTGTTTTTTCAGTAAGAACTGTATGAGATGAGATTTGAATGACTGATTATAGGTCCGTCAGTCTCAGAAGCAAGAGAAAATGTGATCTCTGCTTTGCTGGTGTTTATTAGATCTGCAGGCATTTATTCAATTAGACTAGTATGTTCCTGAACTGGGTTTCTTACTTTCTGGCGCGTTCAGTCTTTTAACGTTTTGGTAGCGATTTGTGAGGAGGCGGGGTGATACATATTGTGCACGTTCCAGGCCATATTGATGCATATAACATATTGAGCATCTCTCGTGGCTACGCCGCGGTGCGTGCTCGTGTTTACACCCCGCTTGCTTGTAGTAGAGCAGGCCTGCCCCCGACACCATGTGCACGGACGACACATGAGTGGGCAGGACCGTGAGTGCCCGGGTCGCTGTCCAATCAGCTGCGAGCAGAGCGATCACTGGCTGGACGGGTCGGCCACTAGCGTACGACACCGCCGGGCCGGCAGCCAATGGAATGCGCGCAAAACGTGGGCACGTGGATCCGCGCACATGTTAACGCTCGTAAACTGCCGAGAGAAAGAGCGAGCAAATACACAAACCGATGAACTGGCGGCCGGGCGGTGTGTGTGTGTGTGCGCGTGCGTGTGAGAGAGAGAGAGAGCGAGAGAGAGAGAGAGAGAGAGAGAGAGAGAGAGCTCTGAGGCTGGACGCCCCGATGCTGCTCCAGCTACGTGTGTATTGACGGATCTGTCGTATCAAAGTAGGAGATAGAGCCGTTAACGATTGTTTCTGGCAGCTGCTGTTTTATCCCACATTACTAAAGGTGAGCATGTTTACTCTAACATATTTGTTTTGTTTTGTTTTATGGCTAACGTTAGCGTTTCACGAAGTTGGTCGGCTAGCCTACAGGAATTTCCTGTCTCGCTGTATCCTGTATGTGCTCCCGGTAATATTTGGTAATAATAGCCAAAATCTTTTTCTTTTTTTTTTTATTCTCACGTGGCTTTGTTCCGTCTATTTTTGTTAATAGACAATTAAATGTAATGATCACCGGGGCAGAACTTTACATTGATAAAAGCATGTTTCGGTCTATATTTGTTATTTACTTTGGTGTCATGTCACTCGGGTTTTATTCTGGTATTTTAAATATTACGTCTTTGTTAGAATTGTACGGACCATTTTGTGAAAGCACATGAGGTGTGTGAGTTCCTGTTTATGGGCATCGCTCCGCGAAAACACACACGCAGACAGGCAGCCAACACCTGAGACGCAGCCTCATGGTCCATGCATACCTGTGCAGACCGTGCCGACAAATGCACCACCACCCCGACACACCCACTCCACCTCCACCCCCACCCCATCCACCACAGGCTATGAACTAGAGCGCACGGGGCGTGGAAAAATAGGAATAAGCACCACAGATTTGCAGTTTACTCGTGCAGATGCATGTAAACAGGTTTTAAGAGGATGCAGCTTGCCTGAAGGGAAGCCGGACACTAATACAATGTAAATGGTATTTGCTTGTTGTAAAAGCAGATCAGGCTTGTTGTTAGTTATTCCTGAAATTGAGATTATTATTTTTGACTCAATAAGTAGTTCTTGCCCTTCTGTCGTCACACTGCAAAAAAACTGTCTCCTTTGTCTGAGAGTGATTTTAGACTTTATTTCTTCTATTGATAAAAGCTGTATGGGTGTGTACCGGTGTATTCATGTGACCCCTCTGTATTGGTGGGATCAAAGAGCAGCAGCAGCACTCGGAGATTACACAGAGAGCGAGAAGAAAAAGGGAAAGACGGATGAAAGAGAGAGAGGCACATGGCCAGAGATAGAGTGTAAAATGTGAGTAAGAAGAGGAGGAGGGTTTGCTCTGTGGAAGAGTAGCACGAGGCATGTGTGCATAACGAAACAGGATGAGCTGCAGGGAGCGATGAGAGGCATACAGAAATACAGCCTTAGAGGAAGAGGTTTGTGTATATGTGTGTGTGTGTGTGTGTGTGAATCCAAGGGGGGATGGAGAGCAAGCCAGAGACAGAGAGGAGGGGCTAGAGAGAGCACTGGAGG